AATTATGTGATCTACTGTATCAAAATAGATATTTCACAATTTTGTACTTTTCCTATAATAAAAATAAAAGCTACGGTAGCTTTAAATAAAAAATTGTTTAAAGAGTCATATAATTTTATTTATATATAAATTAATTTGCCGCCTTTTTTGTTGTGTCTACATATCTAATCACCTCGGATATACTAAATTCACATGTTTGTGTACGTTTACACGCAGTCCATTGAAGCACAGATAAGAGTAGACGAAAAAGGATTTTCATTGATTTATGACTCGGATCAGTGTTGGCACTTATAATCACAGAAATATGTAAATTCGGATTCATTATGAATCATTTCATGTGCACATGTGTCTAACGGTTTAAATTACCCTTTTAGGTTGCATTTTGGTTATGGAATTCGTATTGACACAGCCGGTTTTAAAATCAGTTAAATTATTATTCGAATCTGAAGTACTTGTACTTACCATTATTTCGTAATTTTTCAACTTAAAAAAAAAATTAGTTATTAAAAATAGTTCCATACACCTACAGAGTGGGGGTCCAAAGTAGCTTGCCAATTGAAATTATCATTTTTAGTTATTATTACATATTATATTTAATTGCACGTTTGTCATTAGTTATGTTGGAACACTGTTTATTTACTTTACAACGCAAATTGCAATTGTGCGCCATAATACAAGTATATTTAAATTCCTTGCCAATCACCTCGTTGCCCAAGCATCATACGCGCACCTATTGTATATTTATTTTTTCGCCATTTTCCGCGCCTCGTGTCACTGCGTGACAGTCTATTTTCAAGTATGCATAAGCAGCTGTATAAGAAACTGGTTACATACACATGAACACATGACGTTAAGTCTAGTTATTAATTGACATTTCTTTTCATTTACATACATATGTATGTAAATATTCTTTTGACAAGTACACGAGTCCATATGCCTCAATTAGTTGTATACATTGCCTAATTTTTGCTAAATCGCGGAAACTCGTGAGATATAATCGTTGAATTCGCGTGCTTGGCATTGTAATTGACAATTTGCTGGTCAATCTACTTCTCTGTCTATGTCATCTATGCCAATTTTTCGTTTTGTTTTGTTAAGTAATTTTACTTAATTAAATTATTTGTTCGTTGCATGCAAGACAGTGAATCACAATAACAAAAAATGCATTATTTTGCTGACACTGGGTCGCGTCACTGAAACTATTCAAAGCATTTGCTTATGTTCTGTAAGTTTTCTGTGGCTTACGTGTCGGTCTTTATGTACTGGGGAGTCACGCACCTTCATCAGTTTGTTTGTCATTTGTGCGTGTGGCAGCCAATCGTTAAATGCTTTGCTCAGCCGGCATTATCATTTCATGACGTCAACTGTGGCTGGCAAAATGTTTCTAACTTTTACCTTCATTGCTAATTACTTTCGCTCGTCGCTTTTGCATGGAAGTGTAGGTTTTTACAGAAAACAAAATGTAAAAAGACGTACATAAATATGTATGTTCTACATACTGGTATTAATTCCACATCGTCAGTTAAAATGCAAAATAACATAAGATCACTTTTCATAAGTGAAGGAAAAACGATATATGTAGTTTATACCACCCTTATTGAATTTTGGTTCAGGGTAGGTTCAGGAAGCTTGAAATTTTGCGATATTACATACACATGTATATCATATAATTTAATGAATCGTAAGCAATAAAAAACTAAATTTAAATTTTTTATGATACGCTGTTTTGCATTTCAATTGCGGATTTACTAAAAATAGTTTGTGGTGTTTTATATATGAATTCTTAAACACGAATATTATTGTATTTAACTCATGAAATTTTACTTAAAATATAAAGAATTATGTATCTCCATTAAATCAAGTATTTTATCTTAAATAAGTGAAACTTGTACAAAATTTTTCTCAAGTTATACATTTTTATGTTCTGTCAAATGTTTAAGATATTTTAATAACGAATATTGCTTGTTGCCAACTTCCTCTATTATCTTTCAACAATTTAATTTTATACGTTCTACCATAACCTATTTTTCACTTGACTGTTTCGTGTTGCCTTCGTTAATCCCTCGTTAATCACTTGTTAGTTATCAGTATTTTTCTGTTTATGTTCTACAAAAACAAAGCTTACGAAATTCCATTTCAACTGATAACCAATAACCCCACCATTTTTTTATTATTTTCATTTTGCTTTATTGATTAATCACACTTTGGTTATGGCGTATGTTTTAGGAGCTCTTCAAGCCAAACACAAACTCCAAACTAATTACATATAACATATTTATTGCGCATACTTACATATACAAATTTGTACAAACGTACTTAATCGTTTCGCCCTAATTGTATTTAAACGAACATGAGTACTATGAGTGTTCACTGCGGGCTCCACATCACGCATTAATAGATTAAAAGCTGTCATTGACCGTTGACTCTTGTTCTAGAGTTTAAATAAATAAATATATAGTATGTATCTGTTTTCTGGCATTACACATCCATACACATATTTGGCGTGAATATGAAATTTTGAAACCTGAAATCTATCTGAAATTTCATGATACCCTTAAATAAGATTTTTGCTATTGCGAAGTGAAGAATAAATGGTGATGAGTGACTGATGCTGAAAGATGAAATGTACAAATGTTAGTAGTTGCTGAAACTAGTCGAACTATCGAGTTTTACTGTTATAGAGAGGAATAAAATATCATCTGTACCATTTTTTGCAAACTTTTGAAGCCTTCATTTATGTTTGGAAAGTGTTTTTTGGTGCTAAAATTGCAGTCAAGTGCAGCAATTGTTTCCAAGCGAAATCAAATATAATCAGTTAAAATTCATTTATTTCAATAAGTAATATAATACAGATAGGTTAGATTTTGTACATTCATACATACATATGTACATATGCACACGTGGTTATTAAATTCTCGCTTGGCTGACTTGCTGAGTCAAGCGAGAGTTTGTATGCGGCTTTTGGCAAACGCAAATAACTAGTTGCAAACTTGACCACTCGACCAAATCTCGGCTATGTACTTTTATGGTTATTTTTACCATGATTTTTTATGAAATTTCCTTTTTCATACACATGCATATAATTACACAGTCTTACTTCCCACCAGAGCGTATTTTTTTTAAGAACCACGCACATTCATACAGTTTACTTTATTAAAAAAATTCATAACCGAAGTACTTTACGTGGGTTGAATTGTTGTACGAATACCATTTCAGTGTGCTAGTGGGCAAAAAAATCTGTTGAAAGACGGTCGCAGTTTTAGGCACCATTGATGTTATGAATATTTCACCATGAACAAATTTATTTTTTGAACCCTTATCCTCGCCAATTTCCATTATCAATTATTTATTGCTATGCTGTTCTCTATAATATAGCCACATCACTTAACTCGCATTTCAATTTTTTTTACATGTGCACCATCATATTTATATGCTCACCACCTACATTATGCTGTATCAATTGCAGAATATTTCTCCCCTGTCATGTTGACATTTGAATCCAACACACCACGAAAAGTCTGTGCGACACAATTCTTTTTCTATTAGTTGTTTTTTATTTGCCGGAAATGTGAACATAATTCTTTGATTCACAATTTTAAAATGGTGAAAAATCGCAAAACTAAATTATAACCACTAAGCACTAATTATCACTCAACAATCTCATATCTTGTATGACACTATGAACAACAACAAGTCAAAAATTATGTCATAAATAAACATTTCGGCAAATAGAGTTTAATTTGAAGGCAGAGTGTGTGAGTAAGCTTCAACTTTGTGCTCAAAGTGAGGCATTGTGCCCGCCGCTGTTTTGTCAATTTAATAAATTGTTAAATGCAATTTGTCGACTACAATGAACCAACTTAAAAAAATTACCACAAAACCGCTGCACTCATTTATAATCGTTTGTAAAAAAAAAAATGATCAGTGTGAGTTGTTTGGAGGAATAACCACATTTCCTCGGGAAATTTTTTTTTTATAAAACCATAGAGGTATATATCGTCACCTGAAATGCAAAATAACGTAACAACATTTTCAACAAAAAATTTAATATTGGTTAAAACTGGTTTATATCTTAGCGTAGAACCTGAAAATGTTGAACATATGTAATATTATGTATGTAGTTTGAAGTAATGAAGCGTAATCAATGAGACACTAAATTTCGAATTTTTTGATGAGACGTTATTTTGCATTTAACGTGACGATATGTAGTACTTGTATGTTCATTAAATACAATTTTTTTATTTTATTTTAAACCAAACCTCGTTCTAATGTGAACCGTATATCATAATGATTGATTTATGCGGTGTGTGAGAAGTTGCGCCGTCTTGTTGGAAGCAAGTGTCGCCGAGATCACAAACTTCGATTTTAGGCATCATATTGTCGGTTATCATGTCGCGGTAACGGTCGCCACTGATGGTCACGTTCTCATTTTTGAAGAATTATGGGCCGATGATTCCAACGTCAAGCGGTCTAAGTTCTTGCACAAGCTTTATTTTGTATGCTTTCAATTCAAGATCTCAACATAAAATGCGTCAAAACGTTCAAGTTTAGTTCACGTTCCTGCGAGCGGCACCGAATCGACTCTCCACAATCGTTGTGTACACTCTTAGCTACGACTGCGTCTATTCGGTAGGGGCGAAGAGTGTTTGTTCTTCAACCTTTCATTTTGCCAAAATTCAATGCCAGTTCGTCCGTCAATTATGCAACAGTTAAAGCGAACCCAAAAATATACGCACGAACACAGCAATCAACTGCAAAATTAATGGAAAGTGTTTTAAATCAGTCTTACACTTAGCGTGCTAAGCAGCAAATGTTATAAATAATTACTAGAAGCGTTTGAATTCTGATAAAAATAAATTTAGAAATACAGAGCAAGAAATTTCAGAACGCAAATGGTTTTTTTTTTTTAATTTAATTGTTTGTATAAATATTTACTTCCTGAAATTTTTTATTCAATTACTTTCTGCTTTTGTTTTTGTATTTTTTATGTTATCACATAGTATGAGGTGTGCACATTAAAATCCACATTGAAGCTTATTCGATGACTAACTCGAAGACGCTGCCATTTGCGCTGATATAATATTCAGCACGGCTCGTATGTTTGGCGTACTTGCTTGACTGACTACCGGCCTGCGCTTGATGGCAAAGCAAACATAAATATGTGCACAGTTACTGACGAATAACTATAAACTACTATAGGAGTTGACTATTCATGGAAAACTGTTACGCAGCTCCATCACAGGCAAGTCCAACGAAAACAAAACTTAATTAAGTAGTATTTGCTTTCCGGTTTTCTATTTTTGCTTCTCACATTTAACTGTGCTTGTACATTTGCTTTGCCAATGCTGCAAAACAAAACTTTTCTAAGTTACGTTTTGACTTTTAGTTTTTGTTTTGCTCGTATTCCGCCGAACGCTTGCACGATATGAACGACGATCTGTTCTCATACTTATATTACCTTTTTCGTGGCTTGCTGTGTTTTGTTTTGATTGTAATCTTCTATGCGCCAATATTTTGCGTAAATATTGTGCCATGTTCTTTGTGTGTAAACGTATTCAGCAATATTGATTGTATAATAAATCACGCTGGCCAAAGTTGCGTAAAAAAATCTGTAATAACAAATGTTCTCTAACTTCGACGCGCCCAGGTCTCTATGAATTATAGAAAACTACAATGTCATAAAAAGCGGGATTTATGATGATATACCGTCGGACATAAATTTAACTCTAGAGTGAAAATTTTATCTTTATTCCGGTCAGATATGTTTTCCATCTATCAACACCGTGCCTTAACGTCGGACAGCGTTTAAAATGATTTAAATGTATTATCAAAACAAAATAATCGTTCGGCTCACTTTCATCTGAGTAACCGTATTATTGCGAGAAAAGTTTGGAAATTCGTTTATTGCAAGAATTGTAACATTGAAGGACCTCCAAGAAGTTGTGGTTTAATACTATTATACTACTTCTTGTGGGTTATTTGAAGTCATTGATTTTTAGCAATAAACCAAACTCTATTCAAGCTTTAATAGTCAATATTGAATGTGCTATCCATGACAATAATTCATATTAAATAAAAACAATTAATTTTCCTTAACAATTAATGTTTTCTTTTTTTAAGAAATCATACCACTCTTATTGGTAAACCTTATATATTCGGATAGTCGCTCCAACTAACCTATAACAGTATCAAGAAAGGCTTGGAACATGGGTGTTATTGCTTCTCCTCTGTTTTGTTTGTTATCACTGTGCGTCTGATAAAATAATACTATACTAGGAGTAACATTTTAAAGGAGCCTAAAAAAGTCGGATATATGCAAATTTTTTTTATTAAATTATTCAGGGTATGAGATTATTATTATATGAACTATCAGAGACGTGCTTTATTATGAATTTCATCAAAAGCATGACGATCGGAATTATCCAGTTTATAATGCAGCTGTAAATAAAGATAAGAGTAGGCAAGAATCTTTGTGAGTTGATATCTATTTTTATGTGGTCGAAATTTAAATTTGGTTCTCTTGATATTTATTTAAAAGGGGCGGAAGTTTCACTTCTTAGGATAATAACTCTAGTTTAACTGCCTGATGGTAGAAAAAACAGATTTTATATTAATTTTATTACTATAATTTTGCTTCTTTTATTGTTTGTAAGCTTTCATTTCAAAATTAATCCCATGATAAAACGCAACGCCCAATCTGGAACAAGTTAGTCGAAATAACACATATTGAATACAAAAACTTAGGTAGTGTTTAGCTGTTTTAATATATGGCTCACATTAATGTAGACTTTTCTCTCCATAATATCTGCGGCTTTAACATTGAATGCCGAGTCGTGTATTTCGTGCGTTAAACTTTGTACTGAAAATGTGGTTTTATCGCAAAAAAAAAATGCAAAACACGTTTACATTAAAACGAATGAAATATTAATTAATCTTAGTCATCACGGCTACTTAAAGCATTTCTCCAGAAGTTCTATGTGTAACTAATTTAGCATGTTGTTTTTTTTACTTCACCATTTAGCGTATTCTAATTTGTTATTCATGAATACAACGCTTGTGATCATTTAACGCTGACTGCAATGCGAACGACTTGAATCTACAAATTTGGTTTACTCGCGTGAATCATAATTTATGCCGCTACACAAGGTGCTGAATATACAATGCTCTCATTTCACACATTCTAATGTTATTTATGTGTTGTTTCATATTTCCTACTGTTCTGTTCAGTTGTGAGGAGATTTACTGGAATCTGAGTGCATGGTGCACTCTAAGGGGAAGTTGTGTTGCTACTTATTCAGGTAGGAAAACAATTATCTTCCCGATATGTTCAAGCAATTCGATGATGCTTATTTCATGTGGGTAGATTTGAAATCGCTTTTTTTTATCGTTTAGTGAATTTTTAGTTTGCCTTTTTGCCTTTTTTTTGGAACTGTTTATATTCTCTACCTTTTTGCAGTCTACGAATAAGTGTCAGGCAAGATATTCATCAATTGTCAAGTTGTCAGTTTGTTAGTGCGACTTGTGTGAAATGTTTTATCCATATAGCAGCTGTCAAAGCCACATCACCGAATCTTGTTATCTCTTACCATCACGAATCGGTTATTATTCTGCTAAACACGATTTCACTTTTCGCTGCCAGTTTGTAATTACTATTGTTCTTTGTTTTTTCCCATTAATTATTATTGTTTTTTATAACAGATGGTTGATTTATTTATGTATATTGTCCCTTTTATTTTCGGCCATTTTGCTTAGCTTTCATGGCTTTTTAGGCTCTGCGAGCATTTCTACTTATGTTATTTGGTTACCTATGATTGTTTCTCTAATCGTCTTTATTCTGAAATAAATTTGTTGTACAATTGCTGTTCATCAAGCATAATGATATTCTTATTTTTCTGCAACTAAGTGTGGTCAACGACTCAACTGTAAATATCTTTTAGATTGTTTTGAAGGTGTAATCATATTGTGTGTATTTATTTTATCTTCGAATAATGTTAATTTAACTAAAAAATATAAATAAGGAATATTAATTGATGGGAAAAATTTGCTGAGATATACGAATTGATGAAAAAAGTTTATGGTGCTGATTGTATCAGTCTCTAGTACATTGGTTAATAACTGTTGTGGGTTTACATGGGTTTCCTCGGGTAAAAAACAGCCCGTTTTCAAAAATTTTTTCTCTTATAAAAAATGAAATATTTTATTAGAATTTTTTGTTGTTACAAATATACACTATTAACAAAGAAATTCTGAAATTTTTGAAAAAAAAATATTTTAAACTCGGCCGCGTTGACAGGATAACTGCTTACAGGATCATCTAAAGTGGAAAAAGTTTTTTAGTTAAAACTTTAGTCTTAGAACTTGGACCAAGTAAACTGGAATTTGGAATTTTGGCAGAGATTTTTACAAAAAAATTAAAATTTCAGTGAAAGATTCGCGATTTTTTCAAATACTTTTAAAAACTGTGTAAAATTTCATGAAGAGCGGTTGGGTAGTACTCGAGAAATCTTACCAACCAACTTCAAAAAAAATTTCGAGAAAAATGCTTATAAAGACGGCGCCCGTAGTGTGGCTAGCCTCGCGCACACAAGACATCAAGGCCGAAACTAAAAATTGATTTTTTTGAAACCTATTAACCCATTTAACCTTTATTGGGTTTAAAAAAAAAAGAAGATTTTTTGAAGAAGCCACTAATGCTTGAGTAGGGCAACAAAACATTGATAGGTGTTAATTTATTTGAAATTATTTACGCAAAAGTTGCATTTTGAAACAATGCACAAACGACGAATTAGCAGTAATTTTATCGAGAAAAATATTTTTAATCACTCAACCATGGTTACCATTTTATGGGATTTAAATTAACTGTTTTTTAGTTTTTTCTCTTCTTGTTGGTATTACAATTTTTGGTCTAACGTTACATAGAGTTGCTCGTTTGTTTTATTATTTTTGTTAATTTAAATAATTTTCCTCCCGAGCCGCTCACAATTTACGCTTTTATTGAAACACTCGTTGGTGTTAACCAAAGAGTTACATATACCGTTATATCGGTCAATGTACATATAAATCAAAGTAACAGCGGCCTCTCCTCCAAAACAAAACAATAAAAAAACCTGAAATTTGCATCCACACACGCGCACAATTTATTTATAGGGGCTCTGACTGACTTTGCAGCGCTTGCCTAAAGTTGTTTTATTAATGAAGTTTTTCATACGCATTATTGTTGCTTATTACATACAACACATGACCGTCAGCTTTGCATGCATGAAAGGACTGACATGCCAACATGCATATTTGAAATAATAATAAATTACATAATGAAACTATTGTTGTAACGTGCATTATGTGTTGTAATAGAAATTTAACAATATGCCGCTGGGTAAGCAATAAAAAAATTTAATTATAAATAATTGTGATGACCAATTGTGGCGCTTTTCCACTTTCGAAATTATAAAGCGTGAGTTTAGGTTAAAAAAATTATGATTTTTCACCACACTTTAAACATTTTCTGTATATTTATTTACATGTACATATTTGTGAAAATATAGTCTATGTAAATGCTTTTTATTTGTTTTCTACATTTCCCATCTATGCGCTAATTTATGACGCGTGATACAGGTCAATAACTCGCTGCTGATTGTTGGTGCCGGCTCGTAGTGGCGTCAGCTTTTTTCATTGTTGTTTTTTTTTACAGCGACGCCAATAAAAGTCTGCTCATTGGAAAGGCATTTTTATAAGCATTCTCTTGCGAACGTATGTACATACTATAAACCAACATAACATACATACCGTAATAATTTTATGACATTCATCACTTCCATAGTTATTATGCAAGCAGCAGCAGTTGTTTTTGTACGTCAATGACAGCTGCAACTATGCACACACGAACACACATTTTTACGGAGGTTTTTAATTTTGGTATTTTGGCATTTTGGCTTCAGAAATAAAATCAAATAATTTCCGAAATGACTCACCACCATTTTAATTCAATTAAGCTTGTTTCATGACCAAAAAGAATGTAGTAGCAACACCAAATAACTGTATAATATTCATGAAATTCTTTCGCAACACTGTTATGAGTACTTTGACATTTCTCGCGTAATTTTCGATGTGACAAAATGCCACAAAAGGCATTCCAAAAATATCCAAAAATAAAAAGCACGAAAACGTAAAACAAATCGCGTGTCGTCGCTCCCAATAATTTGATTTTTCCATTACCCAAACTTCGCGTTCGCCGCAAAAGTGATA